TAGGCCTACTACCAAATCCAATTTGCTTTGTTTTACAAATGTTGGAGTATTCCTGCCTTCCTGTGCTTGTTTTGGTGAACTTGTGCGAAGCATTTCCCTTTGCAATGAAGTCCTACATAATTTGTATATAAATTTACAATGAGAAAACTGACATCATATTTTCTGTCGGGACAGATCAAAGAGCTGTTGTTATTGGAGACCTCCAGAAGGTAGACTACAAACGAAGAAGTGCCAAAGAATATAGATCTAAATTATCTAGATATCTAGATCTAGAAATCTAGATCTAAAAATAAAGCATGCATTATTTTCTAGATCTTGACTCGGACGTGAGCACTGAATTAGATCTAGACAGATATAAACCAAAGAAATTATTTCCAGATGCGAGGAAGCCTAGATCTAAAACCTAGATTTACAAGGGATCTATCTATATTTAGAATCTAGATCTAGATCCACTTAAACCACAATATAAGTTACAACACATGCTTTCATACATGGTCAATACAAAGGTGTGTGTTTTGAAACAAATTTTCACTGAATAATACTTTATCTACTTATCCACCTGTTGACTTACCTTTCAGGGTCTTTAGAAAAAAAAAGCTAATTCAGGTCGTCTGTTTTTTAATTAGTGCAGTGTATAGCGGTACACCACTTACAGTGTGTGTTCTTAGGATGGGCCATGTTTATTTGGGTTTACTGGCATAGTTCCTGATGTCACGGGATTGGTCAAAATCGAGGTCTGGCCCAAGCTGTACTGTCTCGTTTACATTAGGTCTCTGATTATATTTTTGCAGCCAGTAGCTGGATGACGATCGGGCAACACCTGCTGCCCATGGCGGTCCCTACCGAACGGGGAGTTCAGACCTGGATCAAGAACCCTCTTAACGCTGTTATCTAAGAAATGAATGTTCTTTTTCTTTTCCATGATTGTTCTTGGGAGATTACAGCAATGGTTTCCCGTTGCCTACTGCCGGTTTGTGTACCGTTTTCTCTTCTAGCCTAAATCGTCCACTGACAACCCAAAAGGCAGTTGGGGCTTTTGTAGAATTTATGGCGCCACCTGTGCCACCAGGGTTCTTCACTACTCTCCACGACCTTCTCCCATTTGGTTCGCGACTGCTTAGCAGCTGCTAACCTCTCTATATGGAGGCCTTTCCACTATCCACCACCGGGGAACGCGCTGGGTCGGGTATGAGGACCCAATACTAAATCTTAGTACTTCCCATAATACAAAAACAAAAACAAAAACCAAAAACCCTCACGTATCCTTGTAGGGCTGTTCTCATTGCAAACACTGGTACTGAATGAGTTGTCAAAGGATAATTTCGTACCAGTATTTAGAAAATTGAAGTTTTTTAAAGCCTGTTCAGGCCTATTTTAACCCCTTTTCTCCACATTTGCGAGGACAGGGCTTAGTTCATTGTGTTCAGGACATAGAATCTGCTTGGAGATTGTTAATTTTTTTTAAAATTCAAAAAGAAATACTAAAGCACCAGCTTGATCTCTCTTGTGTAAATCGAAACCCATGTCTCTTCTTTAACTTTACTTCAACTAAAAGTTTAGATTAAAATTAAGCAAGAGTGTGTTACGCAAGTTACAGAAGTTTATAAAATGCCGTTTAATCAGAGTGTTTATACATTTATTTTCATGACCACGTTCGCACTGCAATATCTCAGACATCTCTTGACTAGATCTATATACACTAGGACTGTACTCGAGGACTTGACATAGTGCTGACTTGAAGAATGTTTTTTTGCCATACAAAAATCGAAGCTATCACTGATTCCTTTTACTTGTTTATTGTGGCAAGAAGAAAAAAACGCACCCCCCAAAAAACCCCAATAAAAAACAGCAACCGACAACGGACCCTAAAATGCTTGATGAAGGTTCACAATTTAGAACGGTTTACACTACCAAGGTCTGTGTCTTTCAACAGCAATGACGATTTCACACAAGCGCTGACATTTTGTCCATGGACGAACTCCCAAAAACGTACTTTTAAGAATGTGTGGGTGGACGCGCCCATGAACAATTTCAATGGCTCAATACCTTCGCTTTATCGTCCGCGGGCAGTGGACTGTACACCTCTGATTCCTGTGAGGCCGGCAGCTGGATCGTCTGCCACAGCCTGCCGACGATGCAATTCAAGTTTGAAAATTTATTGAAAACTACGCTCTATTGTAAAAACAGTATTAAAATCAGAATCCGCATAGGTCTGTCAAAAATTACCATCAGATGCGCGGGTGACTCTTTTTCTTGTTGGATTTTGAAGACCACACACAAAAAGTACTTTTTACCATTGTTGCTTCGTGTGGTATTTTCTTACTACTCAGCGAGGATGGAAAACTGTCAGTTTCAACTGAACGAGCCAAAGGGCCTTTACACAACCATCGTTTGGTGGCCAGAAGCGGTAAAACCGCTCGCTATTTTCATATCCTCAGATATGACCTTAGTTTCTGTGACCCCTTTAAGAGGACGAAGGGTCGGACACAATTATGCTGTTATCTTATCTTCAGGGCAAGCGCAAAGACACTGAGCCTTTCGTTTTCTTTGTGTGTGTGTGTGTGTGTGTGTGTGTGTGTGTGTGTGTCTTGCGACCCAGTCACTCTCTGCCAGCGCTTGGGCTGGGCAAACATTAGTTTCTTGACAAAACGGATTTTGAGAGGCACGGTGTGTAGCTGACTAGTTTTAGTCGAGTCAAGATTTTGTTGAGAAAGGGAATTTGATCAGAAGCAACATCAAGTTAACCGAGGGAAAGTCGCTTGATTCACTTTTGCACCTTTAAATCCAAATCTGGAGCTATCTACAGAATTAAAGAACAATATTATTGTTAAATAAAAAATTGAACATTAGTTGTTGTACCTGCGTCGCAGCCAGATTCATAAATAAGACACGCAGAGCGGTCCAGTTTCCTCGTCTATCTCTTCTCTCTCCAAAATGTTGCTTCTATACCATTCCATTAAAAAATAAGAGAGAAAATCAATTGAACATTAGTAATCTTTGTTTAAGATTCGAAAGAGATTGGTGGGCTATTTAGAAAGTAGCATCTACTCTGGGAAGTGGATATCCAAGCCACCCCTAACTGCCCCAGTCCTCCCTGCCTCCTACCCCCCCCCTCTCTGATCTCTTGTTTCTTCCTCTGTCTCTCCCCTCCCTCTCACTTTCTCTCCCTCTGTATGTCTGTCCTACCCCCCCCCCTCAACCCCTCAAACCCCCTCACAGCCTTAATGTCATCGAGCGTCCTTAGCAGGGAAACACATTATTCAGGCCCCATTGAATGATTTTCTCTAGTTGAGGCCACTGATAACGATACCATTCAGAGACACTGAATTTGGCAAATAGAAAATAAGAGAACAGCTCCAGACTAATGCTGCGACCAGCGACATTAGGGGGAACGAACCTTCCCATGTAATCACTCTTCGTGTTTTTCCAATACCGGTGCCATGCAATATATCGGGTCCTTCAAACGCTTCTATACTGTTGTAACGGAAAATGAACGTAAAGGATTATTGTTGAATGACAAGAAAACAGACTCGTAAGCAAATGTGAAAATATAAAACAAGTTCAACAGTTTGAAAATCTATTGGATATTTAACAACATCTTATGCTAAATGGTTCACAGAAATAAACTAGTGAATTTCAATAGTTAAAAGATAGTTTCAATAAGATGAGCCCAAGCCTGAAAAATAGAAATATTTCACTGATTACCAAAATGAAAGTTTTATGAGGTTATATTTTGGTCACCTCTTTAATCTATGTCTGATTCTAGACATAATCTGCGTGCAACTGCGTCCTTGGTTTCATTCTATTTTTGCTACAACTGGCTTCCTCCGGAGGACGGTAGCCTGCCGCATGCAGTCAGATATGTGACGACCTCTTTAAGTCTGGTCCATAGAACATCTGGTCAGGGTCGGGTATTGTCTTGCAGCGGCGGTTCGCGATACAGGTCTCGGTGCGAGCACTCGAATAGTGCGTGTTGTAAGTCGTCAGGAATGACACAACGTACTTACTTACTTACTTGGTTTGAGAATAGGCACCATTACGGTCGGCTTAGGTTTTACCTTCACTCCAACAGAATCATGGACTCGAGTGCGCTCCCATTTGTTGGTGACAATTTATCGCGTCGTGCATGTCTTCGCCAAAGTCAGACCTATGAATTTCTATATTTGCTTTGTCCATTCGACCGCCTTGGTTGGCAAGGGCATCAGCGCGATCGTTGCCACAGAGATTGCAGGAGCCTGTTATCCATTGATTGTGGATATGGCTGTATATTTTGCAGCAGCGATATGTAGCAATCCACGAGTCATCATCCATTTTGGTTTTGACTGCAGTCACACCTGCTGTAAATTTCCGTACAAGTGATTGCGAGTCTGTGTAGAGATGAATTCCTTGGTGGCTGTTCTGATGGACACTGAAGCGCATACAGCATTGCGGCTGATCCCCCGTTGTAAATACGGACAGTTTTTCCTGTTGGTATTTTCATTTCCGTTTCCTTTCCACTACTATTGTTTCTTCAAGCTGTCACAGTTAAGGTCTTTAACATGTGCACGCGCGTGTATAATGATGTGTGCGTCTGCGGTGAGGGCTAGCTAAGATGTGGGCAGAGAATAGAGAGCATGTAGCTGTGTGTGTGTGTTTTCGGGGGGGGGGGGGGGGGGGAGATAGATGGGGTGATGGTGGAGGGGGGGTGGAAGGGGGATCGATGTGACTGACAATTGGCCAGAGTCGATTGGGCACAGCTCTAATCCAGATCACTTTGTGAAAAATTCGACTTGGATTAGAAGCTCGAGGGGGTTCTAGAAAACAACCCATAGACAGAGTAAAAAATTTGATAAATGGGGTTAGTAACCTGAAGTTGTGGAACAGTGATTCTCTTTTGGAAAAATTGACCGGATAACCGGATTTGGAAAATTCCAATCTCATTTACTGATAAGCGCCAGACTTTGCGTCAACCGACACTATAAAAATCTTACTGCAGTAGGATTCAGGTGTCAGACCAACTTTGATCATCAACAAATCCCCTTACAGGCTACAGAAACACGCAGTCAAAACAAACCTTACGAGATAAACGAAACGGTCACGAGTAATTAGAAATGACTCCCAAGGACGAAGTAAGTCGCGCATCCGAAAGCTGTGAAAAAAACAAAGACGGCAAAGATGGAATGCTTTACCGCGTGGATGACAACCCTTCGTGGATCTTGTGCATTCTTTTAGGATTTCAGGTAGGAGGGGACGATGGCTGTGGTAGATTTTTGGCGAAACACCAGGCGAAGTACCAAGGGTGTGTTTGGTGTCATGGGAATACTATTTGCCTTGCACGCAAAAGACAAGAGCTCGAATACCGCGCAAGGAAGTGTTTTTTCTTCTATATATCAAATACAATGGGATTCCCCCCCCCCCCCCAAAAAAAAAAAAATAGATTTAAAAAAATCCCAGTTTTTTCCCCTGAACATCTCGCATTGTACTAAAATATTTTAACCTGGAAGAGATATAATTCATTCAAATGGAATTTGTTCATAACAAAATTCATCACGAAGAAACATATTTTCGAAAACGGATATGGCTTTTATAACCCCCCCCCCCCCCCAAACCCACCTATAAACGCAAAATGCACCAGTTTAAAAGGTCTTGTTAGGACAGTCATGAAATAATTGTTTTTCCCCATTTCTTTTCCTTTTAAGATCTAATTTGTGCGCCGCTGTAACATTTAAACAATATTTCTTTTCTCTCACAGAGTTTAAAAACATATTTTTAAAATCCAGGAATTCCAAGAATCAATGTTCTATATCATAATGTCATATTTTGGACTCGACACATTTTACGGGTCGTGGTGGCCAAATACAAAGATCCACCCAACTATGAGGGCTTAAAGCTACACACCCTGTACACCTTACAACATGGAGTTGTTTCTAGAGACTACATGGGTGACGGGCAGGGTTGCCCAGTAGACGGCATTTGTGGAATTAACATATCCTGAAAGGTGAATAATGCACCTTGCCAAGAACCCAAATGTCATCGAGGAAATGTTCATGCTTTTCAAGACGATCGAGGAACCATGAACACATTTCTATCCTCAGATCCATGTCAGCTTCGTGAACAGGAAAATGGTTCTGTCATAAACGAAAATCTGCCTGAGAATGCGGTCCGTTGAGATGTAAGAAAATCCTAGCTGCAGACATCGTCCACGGACAGACGTCTCAAGGAACTCATCCACTAAATTCTGCACCCTGGGGAAGTTAAAGTTAAAGGGGTGCGAACGGCGTGTGTTTTACCTGAAGTGGTCATTTTGTCTGGGAAGTTTTAGTTCTGATTCTGTACAGATCCTAACTAATGGATCATTTCCGCCTTTGACATCAAAGAAGGCCTCAGCTTTAACATTATTTCCGCACCTTGAGCTTACAAAATGAGTTGGTGGTGAGGTAAAGTTCAATACAAAAAGCTCTCTGCTCTTTATACTAATCTTAACCATGACCTCAGAAGACAAAAGAAACTTGAGAAAAACTATCTGCAAACTTCTGTTGGTCTTGTAGATTACTGTAGCTTGCAATATGACGCAATATTTGGGACTTTTAGTAGTAGGCCTAATGCGAATTAGTGCGTCATGCTACAAACATGGGGACATAGCTGAAAATGGGCTGTTTTTCTGCGTGTCATGTGGAGCAAAACTATTCTCTGGATTTATCTAAAATGAATATCAACCAACGTTTTTTTATTTCCGAATATTGAATACATATTATTAGAAACTCAAAACTTCAGTGTGGAGGAAAACATTTACCAAAAAAAGCAGTAAAGTTGTTTTTTTCCGACTCTATATTTTCTTTTTAAAAAAAATCTACAGTATGTTATTTAGATCTAGCATGGATTGGCTTTGACAAACAGGGTGTCTTATATGATCGAAATTCACTAGGTGTTATATTAACACTCACAGTGTTGTACAACTTCTTACTCAGCAGAGAAATGGTAATTTGGTAATTTTGAGATTTGAGTTCCGTGAATCCTCGACGGTGCAACCCACTGAGAGAAAGAGTAATGTGGCATAGAGAACACCAACATGCCATTCTCCCCTCGGATGTGAACTCCCACTTCACTTAAATCGCTCAAGCTTGAAAGGCGCTGGAAAGGAACTGAGCTAAGGGCAATTCCCACCTAAGTCTGGCCCTGGTACTAATATAATATGCAGTCTATTGCGGATACGTTGATGTACTCGGAGATGGGAAAAAAAGAGATCAACTCATCCGACTTCAACTTAACCGTTGGTATCACGAAACCAAGGGTCATATCTAACAAAATATTTCCCTTTTAGTAGGCTACTTTGGTAAAAATGGTGGCGACAGGAAAGGTTAACCCTCTCACTGCAGCCGATTCCGTTGTTTTCTTCAGTACGGCGAAACTATCCCTTTTTGACATATTCGTTATTCTCACAATGTGCAATGTCTGTTATAAATGAAATATTGGTCACTATAAAAGCCCTGAGCGAAAAGAACGTTTTACACCACTAAGTTACAGAGGAGAGAAAAGTAGAGTACTTTTTTTAGTTGGGTAGGTTTTTCAGAGGTTTCACTGTATTTTTCATGGATATTGTCTTGGCGTGTACCATACTTTTTGGCTTTGAAAGGAGGGGAAGCAATAATGAACGTGGTTATTGTGTCGTGGTACTAAATACATGCATTCACCTACTCTTGCTCTCCGCTCACAGTTTCATTGAAGTATTATGTAGGTCTATTATTGGGCGTTGATCGGCTCCTGATCTACATAACTGCACTTGTACGTTAAGTATCACCAGTAAGACATATAAAGAGGCGCATGCAAAAAATGTTAATCAATACAACCTTTGTATACTTTCAGTCGGGGGTTAATAAAAAGCACTTTAACTCTAACGTATTTACACTTGAACTCAACTTAACCGTTTAACTTTAATAAATGTACAGAAGAAGAAGTGGTGGGGCCCAACAAAAATATCAACTTAACCGAAGATCAGTACGAGCGAGTTCAACACAAGTGGAGTCGACCGTATATTGTTTATATAGGTTTCTGAAGTCCAGTGGTTTGCTTCTTTGCCTTGCCAGCACAATTAATACGTGAGGTGAACTCCCATGTGAGGAAGGTACTGTTTCGAGGGAAGGACTTCCGTAACGAGCGACCACCTCAACAAACGCAATAAAGAAAAGACCTAACCCTCACCCTAACCCAAACTCTAACCCTAACCCAACGAACACTATAAAGAAGAGATTTAACCATAACCCTTTCCCAAACCCTAACCCTAACCCTAACCCAAACCCTAACCTTACCCCTACCCCGACCGCGAACCCGACCCCGACCCTACCCCTACGGTGCCCCTAACCCTACCCCTACGCCTCTAGTCTGATCTGTCTCAAAATGGTCATTCGTTACGGAAGTCCTCCCGTATCGAGTACCTGCTTTTCTCTGCTGGGATTTTGTACTAGGGTCTCAAGAAATTACGCTTGTGTTGTAAGGGGTAGTAAAACATAATATAGGCCTTATATATGATTTATAATCAAATTTTGTCCGCCCCGCCCCCCCCCCCCGCACCCAACCCTCCCCACAGCACTACCTGACTGCTTTTGGCTCCACCTTGTCCGTGCCGCTGATTCTGGCCGGCCCACTGTGCATGGGCGGCGACACAGTGGGGCTCAGTGAGCTCATAGCCACCATGTTCTTCGCTTCTGGAATCACCACCATTTTACAAACCAGTATCGGAGTGAGGTTAGATCTATTCGTTGTTCCAGCATGTCAAAGAACAATGCCTATTTTGTTCGAATTTAGAAACTTAACAAAGAAGTCTCAAAGCGAATTATTTTTTGACATGTCACTGTTCTGTCACTGTAAGTTGATGTTATGCTCTTTAGAGCCTGTTAAATTTGATATACAGGGTGTCAAAGAATAAGAGGACTAATAAAATAAAAGCGCAACAACTCTGTCATCTTAGCACTAATCTCAACAAATCATCGAACAAACAAATAAAAGTCAACAAAAGAACCGTTAGATTTGTCAATACTTAGAAAATCAATTTACATGTTCGAGAAATACATGCATCACGTTTTAACAATTTCGAGTAAGACTGCAACTTCTTAACATTCAACCATTATGACTATCTCCCTACTGAAAAAGACACCAAAATACAACAAAATCAACCTGAATGAATTACAACACTTTAATTCCTAAAAATTAAATTAATTTTTTTTTCGTAGTAGGCTATTACTTTGACAAAATTGACTCCCCCTTGGCACGGCGATCTGTTGAAATAAATACAAAGAGGACCGCCCCTTTTAGATTTGCAGACATCCGATATCAGGAAGGTTATGTGATTGTCTGAGCACCCGCGTGCTTATGTCTTTGAGTGCGCCCGCATGGATTTGTGTGTGAGTGTGTGAGTGTGTGTGTGTGTGTGTGTGTGTGTGTGTGTGTGTGTGTGTGTGTGTGTGTGTTCGCGCGCGCACGCGTGTGTGTGTCCTTTTTGCTTTAAATTCCCACTGTCTGCTTCAGGCTTCCCATTATTCAAGGTGCAACCTTCGCTCTCCTGGCTCCTACACAAAGTATTCTCAGTCTCCCGGAATGGACATGTCCCAGCAATATTTCAGGTCAGTAACCCCAGTCCTGTGCACTTAAACATTCTCTTCACATCTATCATTTTAATAGGTTTTTTTTTACATCACTCTTAGAAAACGTGTGAAGTTTTGATCGGGAAAAAATAGATATTTTTGTAACTCTTAGAGTCAACATCCATCAAATCCATATAGGAGGAGCTATAGTGCGGTCAAACATTCGTAGTGCAACTTATCTTCAAATATCTCTTTAATTGGTGAACGAAAATCTCTCTCAAACTTCGCACAGCAGTTTGTATCAATTTGTCTGAACTTAATCGTATTTTATCCAAAACATTTTAGCCTAGTTTCTTCATAAATGTATTTTAAAAATACTGCAAATCTCCGTCACGCGGAAAATGGGATTGTTCACAGCACTTCCCGCTTCTCACACACATGTTGCATACGCACACCAATGACACTTTTTAGGGGCAAAATCTGTTACTAGAAATTAATTTTATAGTGAAAACTTTTTGCACTAAAGGTGGTCAAAACAATCGCACAATAAGCATAATGTCGAGAATAAAAAATAAAACACGAGACGGACTTGCTTTGAAAAGCGATATTGTTCCAGCTGCCAAACTTATAATCTACAGAAGCCACCACTGGGATCGTTAATTAGTATGTATTGCGGAATTTTCTAGAATACAGCTAACAGGTGCTTAAAAAAGTATTGATCTGTGAGGACAAATTGGTACAAGTCATTGTGCAAAAGCTGGAGACTTTATTTTCGATAGTTGAGGAAGTAATTGACAATAAGTTGCGCCACGAATTTTTCCCCTCACTATTATAGATTGTTGCGACCTTAGCACTACTATCAACGTTCTATTATATTATGCATCCTGGAAGTGTATATTTTTTGGGACAATGTATGTTTGCATATGTGTGCATGTGTGTATGTGTGTGCGCGCGCGCGCGCGCGCGTGTGTGTGTGTGCGTGTGTTTGTGTGTGTGTGTTGCTCTCGCTCGCGTCGCGCGAGAGAGTGAGAGCGCGTGTAGTGGAAATGAACTTCATGTATATGTTTGTATATTATGTATAATATCTAACACACACGCCCGCACACACACATAAAAACAAATATTATATATATATATATATATATATATATATATATATATATATATATATTTATATATATATATCTTGTCTTGCACTTGGCGAAAATATACCCATCTGTCTTGAATAGAAGTCGAGAATTTGCGATTGGAGGAGATGAGGGTTGCCTGGTGTGAGAAATAAAATTAGTGAGAAAATGGCTGCCAAAATTTGGTGACTTCCAAAGCTTGAGTGTAATTGGAAATGAGAAATTTACATTGTTCATGCTTTCAATCAAAGTTTTTCTCTAAAATCCACCCAGAAATGTGTTTTTAGGCCATAATAAAAGGCGTTGAGCCAAAAGAATATTTTTTTTAAAAATTGCCCAACGCCCAGGAAAATGTTGGTTTCTTGGATTTCACTGTTTTGACGAGCGCCTGATTTCTCCATGATGCCTCACACACACACTCACACAGACACACACACACAGACACACACACACACACACACACACACACACAGACACACACACTCACACACACACACACACACACATATATATAATATATATGTGTGTGTTGTAAGTTCATTCACCTTCAGTTCATAGGTATCAAATGTTTTTCTTGTTCCTTTAGAGTTTGAAGGTATTTTAGTACATCAATCAGCAATTTCTTTTCCAAAAATATTTAATGTAACGTGAAATGTTTGCTTTCTCGTCAACGATAGCTTCAAACATCAGCGACTGTGTGGGTGGAAGTGGCAACTCCTCGGTGTGCGCTGATCCACGGGAGCTGTGGTACCCTCGAATTAGAGAAGTGAGACAAACTAATCTTTTTAGATGTGTGGATGGCGTTGCTATGTTGTCTTTGAAATAAAATAAAATGGTTTAATGGGCGTAATTTGATGTAAAAAAGAAAAGGGATTTGTGGTGGCATTCCTCCTACCGAAATTCCGGCTCTGCAGCCATTAGGTCACACGATTTAGTGATTTCTGTCGCGAAGCCAGGGTCAATGGTGGGGGTGGAGATTATAGGGGTTATTCTTGGGTAGGAAACACTTCTCTCTGTTGCCTTTCAATTCTGCAATGAACAACGCCGGTAAAAGTTCTTCAAAACTAATATGTGATCTATGATTCTCTCTCTAGTTGGGGGTACTAATTTTGCTGAATTTCTTAACCCTATCCGAACGCCCTGGGGTCATTTTGTACCTTCAAAGTTGTATTCTTCACTTTTTAGAATACTTCCAGTTCGAACATCTCTTTGAAACTTTCAGTGTTTCTCAAATCATCATTTTGAAAGACTGCTATGCAAAGCGTACGGGTTGGATTAACAAGTAAATTTCCTCTTTGGAAAATGGCGGCACAGAGTTCCCCACGTCCTATGGATACGATAGTAAAGCACGACGTACGGATATGATTAATTAACATCTTACTCCATTTTCGTCTGCCAGGTTGTTTTTGGATGTTCTCTGTTCACTGGTTTCATCTCAGTGCCTTTCCAGTTATATTTGTCTTTGATTTTCTTAACAAGTGTCCGAGCCTTCATCTTCTTCTCTCTTTCGCTTTCTGTTACATTTTTTTCTTTCATGTATTCCCTCTAAAATCCCTCGGTGACGACAGAATCAAACCATTGCACGCTCAAACTGTTTTTTAACCATCCAATGATGAAGGTCTGAAGCTTGCTCTCAAAACTCTTCGTTAATAAACAGGTGTCGTCTCTTCAGAGCGAAACAGATTTTTCCATTGCCCCTGAATAGTGCCAGCTTGGTGCGCTTGGCCCATTTTTTTGGGCTCTTGCATTTCTTTCGTAGCAATAAAAGCTTGTCTTGCTTGCCAAATGTTCGCCACGATATCTTCGTCAGTAACATATTGATATCACTACTTACGTCTGTAGTGTAGCAGATTGGTGCTTTGCCGTGGTACGAGGGAGACTTCAGTTCGATTCCTAAGGGGTGAGATTTCTTATTGAGTATCTCGGTCTTTCTGCTGGGACGTTGACAGGCAGGTTCGAAGATCGCCTTATAAGATTTATAATTATCTTAATACTGTCGATAGGGGTGTAAAATACCTACATTTTTAGTGATAACGCTCTCTGGGGTAGTCGTCCAGAGGACTTAAACTCCACAGCAGGGGTCTTAAACACGCAGCCAGAGGGCCAACTGAGGCCCACTGAACGATATTTTGCGGCCGCTTCTTGGCCTCAACGTTTGGCGTTCGTGTGGCTAGCACGTTTCTTTCACTCGGCAAAAATGAGGTGGAGGTGGAGCTATGCAAGAGCAAGCAGTGCCAGGTCTTTGACTGCAAGGAGTAGGTTAGAGAAACCTACGTTCTGAAGCACCGTTTTGTTCGGAGCTGCAATTAATAAATATTGAGAAGATTAGATCAGTTGTACTTAACATCTTTTTTGATGGAATTTTCGATGTGGCCCGGGCTCACTCAGACATTACCGCGGGTAATTTCAGTTTGAGACCCCTAATCTACAGCATTGGTTAAGGAATCCAGTACCTAAAGCCCCCTTGGTGATGAATGAAACATTAATGTAGGTTAGCTAAAAAGGCTGTACCGCGGGTGGAAGCTGTAGAGATTTTCTTTTTTTTTGGGGGGGGCGGAAGCTACTGATACTGTTTGAATAAATCATGCCTTTATGTTAAATTTGACATTATGCATACTTAAACATACTTTTCCCTTAGCCATAAATCTTTTATAGGGTGTTAAGCATGTTTTAACACAAAATTACCTCATTTCCAATTTTATTGCAATGTGAAATAATTACTTGTCTGGTGTTATTTGATGTATAGATATGTATTATTAAGACTACAGGCCAATAACATCATAATACGTGTGTCACAGGTGCAGGGTGCCATATGTGTGGCTTCGTTATTTCAAGTGGTTATTGGCTGTTCTGGTGTCCTGTCCTTCTTCTTGCGATATATTGGACCTCTGACCATCGCTCCCACCATCACTCTCATTGGCCTCAGCCTCTTCGAGGTGGCGGCTTACAAGGCGTCCTCTCATTGGTGGATCTCTATCACGTGAGTGAGGGGTGTGGTTGAGAAGGAATGTGGGAAAATATAAACCAGCATAAAACAAAACAAAATAGCATGTTCTAGCGCGAGCACCTTTGAATTGATTATTTACGAGCAAACTTTCCACGGGCCGTTTAAATGGAATTGGCAAGTATGAGAATCTTGCACAGATCTATCAGTATATATAGATACATCTATATTAATATCAACATTTTCTTGTTTTAACTACCCCCCCCCCCCTTTCCCTCCATCACTCCTCTATCTCTCCCCCCCCTCCTCCCCCTCCTTCTCCTTCACCTTCTCACTACCCGTTCTCGTCCTCACACTTCCGTATTGGTTAGCAGTTCTCCATTATTAGCATGCATCTTTTTTCCTCCTATTTTATCCCCAGGACAATTGTTCTCATAGCCATATTTTCCCAATACTTGAAGAACATAGACATCCCAGTTCCAAGCATGAACAGGGGTAAATCTTGCTCTGTAATACGGCTGCCCGTCTTCAAGCTCTTCCCGGTACGTATTGCATAGCTGGGGATACGGATATGTTTGATTAGTTTGGTGTGCATATTGGTTTCGTGGGCCTACAACTCACAGTGCCCTGAGCATAATTCACAAACAGAAGCAAACAGAACAAATCATACTCCTCCTGCTTGTCTAAAAAAAAATACCCCCCCCCCCAACCGGAAAAAACCCAGATGTGTTTGTTTTATTAGGTTGAAAGTTGTCATAAGTTCCCTGTCATTAGTATTTTTTAAACAAATTGGCTATTATTTAAAGTTATTTTATTTTAATGTTAATTCTTACGAATAGAAAAGAAATGCTTTTATATATATGGCATTCAAAATATTCTCCCCCAAACATATTATCATACATCATAGCATGTGTCTCACCGGATGTATAAATATGATCTTAATCTAGTAGTGTGATAAGTAGGCGCTTCACCTTGGACGAAAAAAATGAGTTTAGTTCTCTCACAGAGACAATATTTTCTCTATTATGTCTGTCTTTCGCAGACAGCATGGGATAGCCCTGGCAGGCAGGGAAGAAAAAGTCAACCTCCTAAATGATATTCTGAACTGTATCGATGTCATTATTAGTTATTTTACTTCGTCTCACGAAGACTCCCCCCCCCCCCTTTTCTCATTTGACATGATTTTCAGGTGCTAATCGCAATGGTCTTGTCTTGGCTTTTGTGTCTGGCCTTGACCTTAGGAGGCGCTCTCCCTGATGAGCCTGGTAGCTGGGGATACATGGCGAGAACTGACGTGTCTTCTTCTGTGTTGGCAGACAGCCCGTGGATACGTATTCCATATATATATATATATATATATATATATGTGTGTGTGTGTGTGTGTGTGTGTGTGTGTGTGTGTGTGTGTGTGTGTGTGTGTTATGTATAGAGGGGGGAAAAAGGGGGGGGGAGATGCATGTCTGACCATCTATCATGTGTATGTTTGATTGGGTGTGTATGTGTATGTTTGTGTGTGTATGTGTATGTTTGTGTATGTTTGTGTGTGTGTGTGTGTGTGTGTGTGTGTGTGTGTGTGTGTGTGTGTGTGTGTGTGTGTGTGCGCGTGTGTGTGTGTGTGTAAGTAAATGCGTTTGTGCGTAAGCACGCGCGGGTGTGTGCATGTGCGGCAGGAAAGGTGAGGGTGGTCAGCAGCGGAGTCAGGACCACAGTTTGCTACAGTGGTTAAGTCGAACCTATCACTAGACAGTTTGATGAACTTTGATGTGAGGCTGGGCTGAGAAAGCCTAGATGTGAGGCCATCTTTTTCTTTTTCAGGCCAGTGGGGTATGCCGACGGTGAGCGCTGGTGCGGTGTTTGGCATGCTGGCTGGGGTGCTTGCCTCCATGATGGAGTCCGTTGGAGACTACTACGCTTGTGCCAGACTAGCTGAAGCACCACCCCCACCCCCAAACGCTGTCAATCGAGGTAAGCTTCACCCCTGTCCATTTGTCTGTCTGTCATTTTGTCTTTCTGTCTTTCTGTCTCTGTCTCTCTCCGCCTGCCTGCCTGCCTGCCTGCCTGCCTGCCTGCCTGCCTGCCTGCCTGTTTATCTGTCAGTCTGCCTGCTTGTCTGCCTGTCCCCCCCCTATCTCTTTCTCTCTCTCTCTCTCTCTCTCTCTCTCTCTCTCTCTCTCTCTCTCTCTCTCTCTCTCTCTCTCTCTTTCTCTTTCTATCTCTCTTCCGTTCGTAAATTGTTTTCGAAGAACAGCATGCTCTTTTATCTCCTTCAACTCACTTCAAAATCCAAGCCAGCATTTTCATCATAAGACACCAGAACTGATTCCTAATGCTTGATCGTCTGGAAAACAATAGTGAGGGGCAGTAACTTACTACTTCTTCCATAAAAGTGCAGAACTTCGAGTTGCCTCATGGAAGCATAGAGGATTTTGACACTTTCCGCCTTGAGTAGCTCACTTCCATGGTTACAGTGATGTTGTAGAGTAATCATAATTTAACATTATAAGTACCCACTTTCAGTATTCCATAACGAGTACTGTAATGGTCAGTATATCGGTATCGTCTTATGCATGTGAAAAGTCATTTCGCAAAGTAAAGGAACTGCTCAGTTCAAGGACAGTGCTAGTGCATCATGACCCGCAGTTACCATTAATCCTAGCAACTGATGCCAGTATTAAGGGACTAGGAGCAGTGATTTCCCACAAAATGCCAAGTGGAGAAGAAAGGCCTATCGCCTTTGCTTCGCGGACTCTCACAAAGGCAGAAACAAATTATGCCCAGATTGAAAAGGAGGCACTAGGAATCATGTTTGGAATCCGCAAGTTTCACCAATACCTCTACGAAGATCCTTTACGCTGATCACTGATCATAAGCCTCTTCTTAAGATTTTTGGACCTAAGACAAACCTACCTGCGATGGCTGGTGCCAGGATCCAAAGATGGTCATTGGAACTCACCAGTTACCAGTATGAAATCCAGTACAGAAGAAGTGAAGATCACTGCAATGCAGACATGCTGTCAAGACTGCCACAAAAGGGAACAGAGTCAGAGAATGAAAAGGACAAATTAGTATATTTTTCTTACATCAATGACATGCCTATCTCTGCAGCTGACATTGCAGAAGAAACAAGAAAAGATGCAGTATTGTCAAAGGTGCTGCAATATACACTGACTGGATGGCCAAATTGCACAGAGGATGACAATCTCAAGCCATTCTTTCAAAGAAGGAGGATATTACCACAGAGGCAGGAGTTCTTCAGTGGGGCCTGAGAGTAATCATACCTCAGAAGTATAGTAACAGAATACTATATGAACTACACGAAGGACATCTCGGAATGACCAATACCAAAGCAATGGCTCGTTCATATGTATTTTGGCCAAAAATAGATCTAGACATTGAGAAAATGCTCCTGTATTCGCGTGGACGTTTCCGTCAAAACCATGGGAACGGATTCATGTAGATTTTGCGGAGTACGAAGGTCAGAAATATGTCGTGTTGATCGATGCTTACTCAAAATGGCTTGAAATAATACCGATGACAACAACGGCAGCACAGAGAACAAATGATGTGCTCAGACAGATCTGTGCAATTCATGGATTGCCTGTCACACTTGTCAGTGATAATGACCCACCATTTAGGTCAAGTGAATTTGAAGAATTTCTTCAGAAAAATGGTGTACAGTGTAACATCACAGCCTTACATGCCTTAAACAAACGGATCTGCTGAGAGACTTGTTCAGTCATTTAAGAGACTTATGAAATCATCGAGCCCAGGACAAAGTGGACCGCAGAGACTGTCCAAAATCCTGTTAAAACTTCGATCAACGCCTCACATGATGACTGCCAAAGTCCAGCAGAACTCTTATTCAAAAGAAAGATAAGAATCCGGTTGGACCTGATGAAGCCTGATCTCGTGTCTAACATGCGTCACAAGCAAGAAGCTCAGGCACAAGAAAAAATCCTCCGTGAATTTCAGCCTGGTGACCCAGTCAAGGTCAGAAACAACAGGCCAGGTGTAAACAGATGGACAAACGGAGTGATATTACAGAGACTGGGAACCCACAGTTACTCTGTTCGTGTAGGTGGAACGGTGCGACACTGTCATATCAACCAGCTGCAGTCTGCTCCAGACTCAACTGCAGATATCAACGAATTACCGCCTCCGCTACCTACCGTCCCAATGCTACCAATGGGTCAGGATGAGGAACCAACGGTACCACCATCAAGTGTTAACCCTGACACAATCCAAGACGCCACTCAAAGACAAGCGTCACCACAACGATCACCACCAAGACGTTATCCAAAACGTGTCAGAAGACCAGTTCAAGGAATGGACTTATAACTCTCTACACTAAAGTGAAAGGACTGTCAAAATCATAAACATTCTCAGTGAAAGAATGGACACTTTAACTCTCTACCTAAAAGTGAATGGCCTATTTTAAGGATAAACATTCTTAGTGAATTAATTTCAGATGTGCTATTTAATATTAGTGACATGAAACAAATCATACCAAGGGACTGACCTCTGAAGTGATAGTTTTGTTACAAGTTATAAGTGATTAATTTCCTTGCATCATAAGGTGCGCATAATAATATTACCTTACTATTGTTTTCAGTGAAACAAAGTAAAGCCTATCACAGATCTGAAGAAGTCAGTTGTAATAGAATTCAAATGAAAAATTTCGATCAACTTCGGTATTATTGTTACAGAACCAATAAGGCTAGAATTACTAATTATGAATGTCCCTGATAGGTTAAAGAACACGTAAATATTTTTGAAAACATTTGAAAATTTTAAGAAAGGGAGGAATGTTGTAGAGTAATCATAATGTAACATTATAAGTACCCACTTTCAGTATTCCATAACGAGTACTGTAATGGTCAGTATATCGGTATCATAGAGAGCAAGAAAAGAGTAACACACTAACACACACATACACAGAGAAGAACAAAAAAGATGTCTAGCCTACGGCAGCACAAGCCACAGTCATGTAAATTTTAAGTCTTATATTAAACTCTGGAGCACAACCCGAGAAGTTGTTTCATTTATTAATGTTTAATGTTGTTGGTGTTCTTGGACTGTTTGCAAGTAGAATACACAACAAGTGACACCAGCAACTTAGTTTTAGTCAAGAGTTTTAAGTCACTTGCAACACAACAGGTCATAATATAAGTGTCGAAGATTAGAGGTGTTACTAGAGAGTAACAAACACGAAAAAGGAGAACAGACCAGGGCGATACATATTTGATAGGAAAAAAGGAGAAAACCACACCAGAGCACCCGACTGCCACCCACTATCAGCCCGCCTGTGTCGTTTATCGTTGTCTTTGGGAAATTCATAAATTGTAATTTTTCTCAACGCACCCTTTTTGGCTAGCATGGCCAGATTCACAATTCTGAAAAAAACCCATGGAAAACATTATTCCCATGGCAAACTCTTGAAAACCACTGGGTCATAAATGTATCTAGATCTAGATAGTGGATCATTGTGTCCTTGGGAAAGGCACTTTTACACAAAGTTTCCCCCACCTTACCCAGATGTGAATGGGTACTCGGCGACAGACAGCGTAAGATCTTGTCAGTATGTTAGTGTTTTAGCGCCCATATGACAACTTGCACTGTATGCTTTTCAAGAAGTTGAGATTGTTTAAGAATGCTCTCAGGTCTGCTGCTGCTGCTGGGATGATATACCGATTGTGAAGCGCATAGAGCTTGCTTTGAGTGGGAATTTGCACTATACCAATGCTATCTATTATGTCATCATTATTATTAGAACTACGTCTCGGTCTTTGCTATTAGTCATATGCTTTGAACTCCATATGTACATCATTTATGAACCACAACTGGCAATGAATATGCTGAATATTGTCACACACAATTGCACGCACATAAACTTGTATTTTATTTTTCCGACATGCCTGTGCTTTGGCGCATCAAAACTCACAAACGAGCAGGTGTCAGACCTGTTAATTAGGTAATGACTCATACGAAAGCTACAATAACAACAAACGTACAGAAGAGAAAAAAACAACAACAAAACAAAAACATTTCTAAGTTATACTAAAACAAAGTTTTTAAAAATAATGTCTATACATTTGACAACAACAAAAAAGACCGTAGGGAGCTAATGATGATGAAGCGACTGTTTTCATTTATGCGGGCTAATGTCACGAATTATTTTTTTACAGACACCACCCGATTTCATTTAAACAGTCTCTGACTTCGTCCGAATAACTCAGATCAAGACACCATTCTCTGCTACACTTTGGCCTAGAGAACCATACGCAGCTCCGTCACATGATGTAGATTGTAGATCACAGGCTAATCTATAAAACAGTAAAGCCTTTGATGACGGACCAGTGCGAATTATTCTAATTGGGTGAACTGCTGTGCACCAGTTTTTTTGGGGGGGGTTTTGCCCGCTCTTTTTTGTTCGCGTTCTGCCCATTTCGTTATTTCGTTTTTTTGTTTTTGTTTTGTTTGTTCCTCAAGTGTTTTGAATTCGCGATTTTAGTCGCCCAGTCGCGAACAGCTTGGTTTCGCAAAGTTCTCTTTAAAAAATGGCGAATATCTCGAATTCAAGTCACGCAGGAAACCCCCCACCCCACCAAACAACCTGGTATGCAGTACTTTACAGCTGATATAACTTGAATTGCCATAAGGGTCTTCTAATACGGGGTGCCCACAACGGCTGGATCAGGCCGATCGCCCAACTTGATCGCCTGAAACTGAAAACAAGCAAGTTTGTTTTTGAGGCTACCACGTCGGGCGATGGCCGATCGGCCGATCCCATCCGTAGTGGGCACCTGTATAAGGTTGTTCCTCAACTTGAGCTGTTTAGGTGAGTCTCAAGATTCTCCTCACACTTGTCTCTGTCTTATTATTGATAGGTGTGGAATTCAGAGGTCTCACTTTTTAAATAGTTCATGGGGTTCCACGTGGCTTTCATACCCCACCATAAAGATACCTACTCAATATAATGTGTCCTCTTTGACAATTGAACATTTTTATTTATAAAATCGCAAACCAATTTTCAGAACTGGTCCTGAAACAACACTACTCACCAAGTTTATGCACTTTCAAGATTGAATTTAATTTCTTTTTTTTGAGAAAAATCCAATCAAAACTCAAGAGCTCTTTTTTTAAAAGTACACGCCTTACTTCCAGTGAATAAAGACATTGCGTCCTTCTATACTGATTTTTCACTTTTTTAAAGACTACCTATCTCTCAGAATTACACCCGATCCTTCATGCACGTCTCTTTTTATAGACCTTTCCGTCCGTTGTTTTAAAATCCTGTGGGCAAACCTGAAAATAAGCTACCTTCTAACGCATACTAAGCTTCATTAATCATACAAGACTTACTCCGGTTTCAACCTGGAGGAGGGATCATGGTATCCGGTAAAAGTTGTGATGTGTTTGATTACGTTTACAGATGCAGAAACATTTCTTAAATCTTAATTAGATATGGCCACTTTCTGGGTAAATGCATGTTCCTTGCGTGAGTGCATGTGCACATTGTTGGATTTTGAGCATTGTGATCAATCTTGATTTGTCTAGTCTCGTGTCACATAATCACATTGGCAATTTAGTGTTACCACCCTACCCCTTCCATTTGCTTCTCACGAGGTGCACTCACTTTTGGGAGCCAACCACTATTGAAAACGCGTACTGTGTGTATGTGTGTGTGTGTGTGTTTGTGTGTGTGTGTTTGTGTGTGTGTGTGTGTGTGTGTGTGTGTGTGTGTGTGTGCGTGTGTGTGTGTGTGTGCGTGTGTGTGTGTGTGTGTGTGTGTGTGTGTGTGTGTGTGTGTGTGTGTAAGGGATTCTGGGGCCGTACGTGCCACGTACGTTGGGTTTTTGCAAGGGAAACGTAATAGTGTGAAAAATGGACCACGATGCTAAAGGTAAATGTTCAGGAAAAGGGATAATCTTTGTATTTGTATAGCGCATATCGACGCTCTACAGCATGCACTATTCACTTTACAACTATTTTAACCCCAGTAGACTCTCTGAGAACACTCAAAAACATTCCTTGCTTCCCGGGAAGCATACTGTGCATGCTGCAGATTTGACACCCTCAAATACTAACAAAATTATAACAAGATCGTTCACTGTCTATAGCCAGGTACTCATTTCCACCTGGGTGAAATGAGGAAATTCGTGTAAAGTGCCTTCCCGAAGGACACAACGTCGGGCGCCTGAGGGGATTCGAACCCACGATCGTACGGTTGCAAGTCCGAGAACCTAATCACTAAGCCACCCGGCTTTGAGATCCACACCTCTGTCTACTCTCCAGGCATTGCTGTGGAGGGTGTATGCTGCATCATCACAGGGCTGCTCGGGACCGGAAACGGAAGCACATCCTACAGTGAAAATGTTGGCGCCATCGGCATCACCAAAGTATGTATCTCGGGTTTTGTTAATTGTTGGAGGTCTCCGCTTCCGCTAACTTACATAAAGCCGACTGAATTGCAATCCATCCTTCCATCCATCCATCCATCCATCCATCCATCCATCCATCCATCCATCCATCCATCTATCCATCCATCCATCCTTCCATCTATCTATCTATCTATCTATTTGAGGATCGTAGGAGGATCACTTTTGCTTCCCTTGAGTACACAGGGCTTAGATATGCGTAATACTTCAGAAAGTGCAATTCTGGGATTCGAGCGTTAGTTGAAATTTCGCAGAGCCATTCATGTTGATGACCTAATGCGCCCTAGCTGCATTATCATGATGATGATGATGATGATGATGATGATGATGATGATGATGATGATGATGATGATGATGATGATATATATTTTTGGGGGAAATACAACAAGGTCCTAACTGTTTTAATACCTTCTTTATACAATGATGATGATGATGATGATGATGATGGTGAAATTACATTAACTCAAGGCTTGCCTTCCCTTCTCTGTTTTATTCCACAATGATGATATTATGATGATGATAATGATGACGATGATGTAGATGATGTGAAGTAGTGAACCCAATTCTTGCTATTTCTTGACGATGATAAATTTATGACGATGATAACTTCACAGGTAGGTAGCAGGAGAGTAGTGTTCACTGCTGGTGTCCTGCTGATACTGTTGGGCTGCCTGGGAAAGGTCGGAGCGCTGTTTGTCACCATTCCTGAACCTGTGGTCGGAGGCATGTTCATCTCTATGTTCGGTGAGATCCATAGTGCGCCTTGGTCGGTCATATAGAATAATGTATTAGTGTTTCGCTCATCGCATCTAGATTGTATAAATCATTTAGAGGCAGGCTCTTTTAACTCGGCCGGTCCTTGCCTCGGTAATTACGGCGTTCTGTGTGGTAGCGTCTTGCGTCTAGTGGTGAGACTACCAGACTCTTAATTATGAGATTTCGGGTTTGGGGGTTCGAGGTTGAGCTCTGTCCGATGTTGAGTTCCTTGGAATTTTCCCATTTGGCTCGGTCCTGTGTAGAATGAACTTTAATATTGAATTAATATAGTTTTGCAAGACTTAAGAAATGTCTCCCTTTTGAGGGGCTCGGAATTAAGTCTTTAACTTGAAGGTAAAATATATGATCATTGTCATGTTTTACACACATAAATGTCTAAGCTGTATAAGTTTAGTTTGAAGACCACATTGTGTTGTTGCTGTCGTTGTTGCTTTTGTTTTCGATCACATAGCCGCTGCGACTCTTTGCCCTTTTCCCTATTACCACGAAATAAAGCTCCGATGTCTTCTTCAGATATTTCTTTTCCTTCTTTTTTCCTCCTCTTGAATCTATATTTTCTTTTTTCTTTTCTTTTTCGTCTTCTCATATCTCGCCTCCATTAATAATTCTCTCCTTCTTTCACCCCCTCCCCCCCCCCCCCCCCACAATCTTCTCCGCTCTCACACCTCTTCGTGATTCCTCCTCCTCCGCCTACCTTAAACATGTTACCACCCCCCTATTTCCACAAACAACAACAACAGCAACAATAACAACAAACACTAATTCTCCTGATTACCACCCCGGCTTTCGCAAGGTATGATCACTGCTGTCGGTCTGTCCAATCTTCACTTCGTGGATCTGACCTCCACCAGAAACCTGTTCGTCATAGCCTGCTCCCTGTTTTTCGGCCTGTGTTTCCCTCACTGGATGTCGAAACAAAAGCACCCGATTAACGTTGGTAAGCCGATTATGCATAACAACTAGAAATCTTATGGAAAATACAAAGTAGTCCTCCTTGACAGAGACTGCAGACTGACAATCAAAATAACGGTATCCGCCATGCCATACGGATGCCAACCCTTGTCCTTCCGTGACCAAGGAACTTACACGAGAATTACAAGCAGTCCAAAAATTCGATGAAATAAAGGTAACATTAATACTGAACATTTCAAACTGTAGAGCGAAATATCTTGCATACGAATAAGAAGAAAAAAACCAGATAATATTTTTTGTTCTACCTAATCTTATTTTATTTCGAGCCGAAATACAATTTTCTACCAAAACTTATAATATAATTATGTTCGTTAAATGTTTCAGGTGTGCCCGCCGTTGACCAGATTCTGACAGTACTCCTAAGCACAAGCATGTTTGTAGGCGGTTTCATTGGCTTTTTGCTTGACGTCACTCTCCCAGGTGATTTTTTAAGAAATTTTAGTCCGCTCAAGACAAATGGTAGGCTATTGTACTGGTGATTGTTTTCATTAAAATGCAAAGGTCTGTCAAAAGCAGAATAAGCTATTTCAACAACTTATTTTCACCTGCACTGAAGGGACGGATTCGAAGTAGGACAGAGGAAACTCGAAACTCTAAGTGGTTCGAACCTTTAAAGCCCACAATTTGGATCGGATGTAATAAGAGCTCCTGGCCGCTGAGATGAAGGGAGAGCTTTGTCGAAGTTTGGGACTGACTGGGGACAGGCCTGTCGAGAGGGGTGGTCAGGG